GAAGGGAGGGGGGAACCTCCATCATTTTGAGGTTCCTTGTCTGGAAAGCACATGAGATTTCTGAACTACTTTTGAGGAATGAGAGCAAGAGGACAGTGATTTTCACTACCGAGTTCATTTAGGTTTAGAGTCACCAGAAAAGGGACAGTGCTCCTGGGCTCGGGGTGCTGTGTTTGCCTGCAGATCCCATGTGCATTTGGGTGTCAGAGTTTGGAACCTGGTCACCACCAAAGTGACTCTTGAGAGCAGAGGAGGAGGAGGTTTCCAGAAGCCTGATCTCAGCCTGGTCCCACTCCCCTCCCAGCTTGGCCCCACAGTGCTGCAAAGTCCTAACAGGGAGGGCTGACTTAAGGAAGGGAGTGGCAACCCAAATTTAGAATTTCCTGCTGTTTAATACTCAGAATTGATTTGCTTTCTGATTAAGGAGGAGGAGGTGCTGAGGTGAAAAAAAAAAAAAAGCAGAAGCCAGAGGTTGTGGGTGACCTTCCAAATCTCAGCTGGTGTCGGAGACAGGCATGTGGAGTGTTCCCACTGTGTGTTCCCACTGAGCCCTGGAGTGCCTGCAGACCCCTCTGATCTCACCCAGATGGGCTATGGGCTGTGTCCTGGAGCTTCAGCTCTACTCAACTGCAGAAAAACACGACTTGGGGAGTCTGTTTGTGCCTTGAAATATGTTTTTTTTTTTAACTTCCCCTCTCTCAGAAGCCAACCGCCGAGGCACCGAGCTGCTGAGGAAACTCCCTGGATATGCCAGAAAAGGTTTTCCAGCAGAGCTAGGTCACTGTAGTTTTACTGGCAAAGCCTCTTAAGCATAAATGAAGATTATTCTAGCGAAAGCTTATGCTGGTACAGTTTATTCCGGTACAAATGAGCTATCCTGGGAAAAAAAAAAAAAAAAAGCACCTCTGCACTGTTGGAATTGTTTCTGCTTTGGGACATTTTGTGGTCTAGAAATGTTAAAATCACAGCCCTTCGTGATACTGCCGGATCAGCAAAAGCTGGTTTAGCTGCTGCAGACGTGCCCTGGCCAAGCAGCAGCACTTGGAGTCCCGTGCACTGCGTGACAAAATGCCACAGGGAAGGATTGCAAGGGCTGGTGGCATTCCGGATGCTTCCAGCGACCGCAGCTCCCAGAGGGTCTGACCTGCCCGTCTGGGATGCGTCCAGCCATGGCATATTTGCTGGGTCCAAACTGGAGATTTGTGCTCCTGGCCCCAAGAATGCCAAGGGAGTGGAAAATAGCAGTGGAGCTACCCAGGGACGTTGGGTACTTGGCTGCACTGGTCTGATGCAGCTGGATGAAAATGGGGGCAAATGTTTAATGAAGATGGTTTGTTCCCCTCATTGAAAATTATTAATAATATCCTCGTTCTTTTTCTTCTTATGGTGATGATAATAGTAAGAGAGTTCTGTCTGTCACAGAGGCAGGAGGGAAAAAGAACCACAGGAAAGGTTGATTCAGCAGTTGAGATGCTACCCTGGATCTTGCAGTAGCCAGGATCTATTCCCAGCTTTGGCTCCCATTTCCTGTGTGACCTTGGTGAAGGTCACATCAACCTTCAAACCCAAATTTTTACATCGTCGTCTGCTGGAAGGGCTCCTGGCTCCTCAGGGGCATTGCTCTCCCCGTGCCTCAGCTTCCCCACCCGGCATGGTGGAATCCTGAAGAGATCTTGGAAAGACAGGTACCTGCTGAGGGAAAGGGCAGGGAGGAGCACACTGTGCCAGAAAAAACAAGGCTTGGGCTCATTATCTGGAGGCCAGATCAGAAGCCTCTGGCTCTGGTATCCGTGTGGTGGTTCCTGTGCCGCGGAGCAGAGCCGGGATCACGCCCGTGGCTCTGTGCAGCCACAGAGCACCATCACTGCAAGATGGATCACGTGGCCCTGCCCTGAATGTCATATTCTTTGGGAAAAATTCCCATCCAAATTTTGTGGCTGGCGGGTCTTTAGTTTAGAGGAAGAAAAAAGAGCTTCATTGCAAATTCTTCAGCTGCTGACGAGCTCTGGTTTCTGATCTCCCAATTGCCATGGGGCATCTTCTGGGATATATAGAGGTCGTTGTGCTTAAACAAAGGACATACAGAGAAAATAGCTGCAGTTGATGGGTGTGACAGAGGGGAAATGCTTTCAGAACTTTTTTCCTTTTTTTTTTTTTAATTTAGAAACAGGCACAGAGTTTATTTTGATCAAGAGATAGTCACACACAACAGCTTTAAATGGCAAAACTCCACAAGGGAAAGGAATAGTCTCAAACTACTTGAACTGAAAATGCATTTGGGAAAATGCCTCCTGTGTTTGCTGCAGTCCAAGTGGTGTTCATCAGTTTGGGAATTTGTTTCAGTTAAGGGGTTTTCCTCAGTCTAGGCTTTTTTTCCTTTTTTAAAGCGTTCATTTTTCATTCAGGGTCCTCTAGGATACTTGTGATGAGGGAGGAGGGTGAACTCCTCATGTCCTGCTCCCAATCCTCATCTCCCCACCTCGAGTTATTATTTTCTCCAAACTCATCTTCCCACTGGGAACACTCCCCCTTGAGCCAGGGGCTGGCAGCATCTGCCCTGAGTTGCCTCAAGTGGACTCTTGATTTTGCTAAGGAAAAAAACCCAAATCCTTTTCCATATTTGCTTGTTGTTTGGAGGTAAAACGTTTCCCATTGCTACAGCTCTTCCAGCCGGGTTTTGGAGGAGGGAGTGTTCGGATGAGCAGTGGAAACATCCCAGTGTCCAGGGGGTTGCTTGAGCTGGGCTCTGAAGGAGTTCAGGTCTGGTTTGGATTTCAGAGCATGTGGCCAAGGGGTTTGGGTGAAAACACACCCAAATCTGTCCGTGCCAGCACTCACGCCTCCCTGTTCCATGCTTGGTTAGCCCTCTCCTTTCCTTTTTGTTGTTGCCTGAATTATTCTCTCTGGACCATCCCTCCCACACACCCCCAGTTCATGACTGGGTGCTGGGTGCTGGGGATCACATCCGTGTGTGAACAGGGTGGATGAGGGGAGCTGACGTGGTGACATGGGATGTGCAGGGACGGGGAGCTCCCGTGGTACCCCGGGGATGGGGATTTCAGGAGAGGTGCCAGCCCCACACGTGCTTTGCTTTCTGATGTGCTTGAGTAGGCGTGGGCTGGTCGCCAGTAACCTGCCTGTGACCTCTCCTGCCTTAAATGTTCAGGATCTTTTAAAAGGAAAGACTGGGCTTTGCTGCCTTCCCTTTGCCGGCGGGTCAAGTGCCTGTTTCCCCTGGCTGGGAATCCGATGCATCCTTGGAAGGTGTCCATCCATCACCTTGGCTGTGGGTGTTTCTGGGGTCCTTCAAGCCTGGCTGGGACCCCCTAACTCTGCCCCAGAATGAACTCCTGCCTTTTCCCCCTGCTGGGATGGCAGTGGGGATAAAACACCAGGAGCAGAGAGCCGGGAAGCACAATCCCTCTGTGCTAAACCCCCCGGAGCAGACCCTGAAGCCTCAAGGAATTTCCTGGGGTTCCTGTTGTGCTGCCCGCACGTCACTCAGCCAGGGGTGACGTGGTGGCCTGAGGTTGTTTTATATCAACATCCTCTGAGAGCCAATCGAGGCTGGGCCCCCAGGGACAAGGATGCTCCCTTCCACCACGGGCCAGGGATGCTGATGGGATGCTGGGGGCTGTGATGGGATTCTGGAGGCAGCAGTGGGATTCTGGAGGCAGCAGTGGGATTCTGGGGGCAGCATTGGGATGCTGGGGGCAGTGATGGGACTCTGGGTGCAGTGATGGGATGCTGGTTCCAGTGGCTTTGCAAGAGGAGCATTGCTGCCTTGCTGAGCCTTCACTTCCTCATCCTGGGGTTTCCCCACTGGGATGGGTGATCTCTGGGGAGGATTGCTGGGGCTGGGCTGCTGTGTGTTCAGCGAGCATGTTTCCTCACTGTGTAACATTCATGTGCTAATTGCTCCAAAATCCTGGGCAGACAGCTGGCTCCAAGCAGACTGAAGGCAACATTTTCCAGAATTTGGGGTCCGTAGCCAAAAGCAGTGGATCCCAGACCCATCATGAGGGGCCCCTTGCCTAAGCGGTCATGCTGGTGCTTCCTCCTCTCTGGATCCACGTTTGCTGGTGTGAACTGGGGGGTCCTGGTGGGTGTCAGGGTGAGCAGTGGCCATGCTGGGGGGGGCCCATCCACACTGCCCATCCGCCCCCGCCGCCTTCCGTCCGCTCCTGCTCGCAGCCTGCCCGGGGGCCACGAGCCAGCCCCTTCCTCGCTCGGGATTGTTTTGCAAGCAGCGTGACAGGATGAGGAGGAAATGTGCCAGGAATGGCTCCATGTCTCCTCTTGGGAGAATCGAAGTCTATTTATAACCCCCTCTTCCCGCCCCCCTCCTCCCGCTCCCCCGGGACGGCGGAGCCGCTGGGGCGCAGGCAGACACAGCCCGTCCTGTGCCTGCAGAGCTGCTCCCACTCCCCATGCAGCAGGCAGGCGTGTTCCTCCTGGCCAGCACACAGAGCCACAGGATCATTTAGGTCGGAAAAGACCTCCAGGATCATCCAGTCCAACCCTTGAGCGCACAGCCTTCCTTGTGGCATGCTGGTGCGTGGATGGACACACACCCCACATGTGTGATGCACAGACATGCTCTTGCTGCTGAACCACTGCTGCAGCCCCATGTTCTCCAGGCATGGCCTGGCCCTGTGATAAATCCAAATTATCCTGTGGCATGGATGGCATCAGCTGGAGCAGCGATACTGAGTCCCTGGCAGAGCTTAGAGCCAGGGTGCAATGTGTGAGTGAGGTGGAGGAGGAGGGCACTGATGCCTGTCTCAAGGTGGAAATGCTCTCAGCACCTCTCTTAATGCCTGTGTAGATGCTCCAACAGAAGATGGTTTGGAAAGATGGAGGTGCATTGGGAGTTTTGGGGGAGGATGAAAAGCAGCTCCTTGGCAGGGCAAGGAGCAGGGGTCTGCATCTCAGGGCTTGTGTCAGAGCCTGTCCCAGCTGGGAGACTCAACCCCGTTTCTCTCTTTCTTCTCTTCCAGATTTCTCCAACCAAGTCAATTCCACATCCCTGAACTCTCCCACGAGCCGGGGGCCCATGGCCACCCCGTCCCTCCACCCGTCCATCGGGCCGGGCATCGGCTCCTCGCTGGGCTCCCCGGGCCAGCTGCACTCGCCCATCAGCACCCTGAGCTCGCCCATCAATGGCATGGGCCCTCCCTTCTCCGTCATCAGCTCCCCCATGGGCCCGCACTCAATGTCCGTCCCCTCCACCCCCAGCCTGGGATTTGGCACCAGCAGCCCACAGGTAAGTGGTGGGGATGTCTGTGCTGCTTGTTTAGCTGGGGAGAAGCCACGTCCCTGGGTTTCCTCATCCAGACAGGCCCCAAAGGGAGGCAAAAAGCAGAAGCCCAAGGGGGAAACTAAGCTGGAGGCATCCTGTTCCACTGGCTGGAGCTGCCTGTGGGGCTGCCCTGGGTGGGCTACGAGGGACCAGCACAGCCAGGATATGGCCATGGATCACCTGTTTGTCCCCAGGTGAACAGGGGGTGAAAGGGGAGCAGTGACCACCCCTGGGTCACCTGCAGGCAGGAGCCAGAGCCACCCTAAGACTGTGTATACCCTGGGATTATCACCTCAGCACATCCCCTCCAGGGCTGGCCTGTGGTCCCAGTAGAATCATAGAGTTGTTAAGGTTGGAAAAGCCCTCTAAGGTCGTTGAGTCCAATCATTAACCCAGCATTGCCAAGTCCACCACAAAACCATGCCCCCAAGGGCCACATCCACAAGCCTTTTGAACACTTCCAGGGATGGTGATTCCTGGACTAATCCTGTGCAGCCTGTTCCAATGCCTGATGATCCTTTCAGTGAAGAAATTTTCCCTAATAGCCAATCTAAACCTGGCACAGCTTGAGGCTGTTCCTCCTTGTCCTGTCACTTGTGCACACCCAGGAGTCCCCTGCTCACTGCCCGTTTCTCCTTGCAGGGGAAAGATTGGCCTTTGCTGGCAGAAGATTATGTAAAAAACCCTCCAACTAGGGAGAGATAAGCTCTTTTTAAAAATAGCCAGATCGGGGTGCTGGCCAGCCCCTGCCACCTGTTGCTGGCTGCTCGCACGGTATATGTTTAGTAAAAGGGCAGATTAAGGAATTGGCCACCACCTGCCACTCGCTGTGGGTTTATTTATTCCAGGCCCTCTCTGGGAGTCAAGCACCTGCCAGCACCTTTATTTTTAAATATTGGCTTGATTTATTTCCAGAGATAACAGGTCTTTCTACATGGGGCTGTGCTGAGTCCCATCCCTAGGGACCTGCAGGCAGCTTCCCCAGGGTCCAGCATCCCAGTGCTGGACAGAGAGGCAATTTGCCTTTGGATGGGATTCTCCCATGCAGGATCCAGCCCGTGACCCCCATAGACCTGCACCCTGCTCCCCGCTGTGGGTGAGTGGGGTGGACACATCGCCTCCCATCCCGTGGCCGAGGGAAGGGGAACTGAAACGGCGCCTGGGAACGGGCAGTCAGAACAAAATTAGCAGCAGCAGCGCCAAAGTGGTGGGGAAGGAGCGGGAAGGGGGATGTGAGGCAACACGGGGTGAGCCACAAGCTGGGGAGACGACAGGGAAGGGGCGACGCACCCCCAGCGTCGATTGTAAGGTGCAGTTTGCTTTTGGGGCTGGCAGGCCGGGGGAACTGAAACGAAACACAGCTACAGGGCAGGAAAGGGAAGCGAGAGCATGGTGGGATGGTGCCGGGAGCGCGCGGCTCCAGCCCTTGGCGCGGCGCGAACGCCCGTCCTCCGTCCGGGGACTTGTCTTAAGTGGTTTTCCTCGAGGTGACAGTTCGGAGGCCTTCAGCCTAATGGCTCTTGCCATCTGTTCCCTGTCTGGGCGCATTAGGTCCCTGTCCCCATCCCTGCAGAGGCGCCTACCTGGGCTGGCAGAGGAGGAGGAGGAGGAGGGTGCGGGCGGCGGCGAGGCCGATGCGCGGAGGGGAGCGCGGCCCCCGCGCCGCTGCACCGGCCGGCAGAGCGCCGGGGTAATGAGGCGTGTGGCCCCCGTCGCCGGGCGGGGATGGCACTGATGGAAGGTGGTTTGCATCAGATGGCAGATGCCACTTGCCATCAGGCCATGCCTCGTCGCCTCTGGAAAGCCAGCAGAGCAGAAGGGCACGCGGTGCGCGAGGTGCGGTGGGTCCCCAGGGTGGGGCCTCTCCACTCTGGCTCCACCGGGGTGGGGAGGAGCCATCAGGCTCCCAAAACAGGGTGTTCTACCTATCTCATCTGGTTCTGCAGAGGTGAGGACCCAGCAGCCCTTGGTGCCAGTGCTGGAGGATGCTCCAAGTGCTCCCCCTGTCCTCCCTCCAGCAGTGTGAGCTTCCCGGGATCCCACATGGTTTCCAAATGCAGCCCCAAAATCAGGACATGAGGCAGGGTGTCCTGCCATGGGATCTCAGCACACCAGGCCCTTATGGGAAGGGGATGCTGGTGGTGGGCTGAGCTGTGGGTGAGATGTGCAGGGCAGGAATAGTTTGCAGTAGTGAGCAGGGTCCCAGCCAGACTGGGGGGGGTCTAGACGCAGCAGCTCTGCAGCTTACCGGGATTTAACGTATTATTTAAACCCTCTTACCTAAAAATTCTGTGAAAACACGAAAAAAAAGTGCAGGATTTTCAGTAAGAGCTGTGAGGGAGGGACTTTGCATGCAGCTTGCAGGGCTGTGTGGTGCAGCCGCCCCAGGCATCGCTGGCAGCAGCTCGGGGCGCCCGGGGGTGAGCGGGGAGAGATCAGACACGGGATTAGGCTTTTCCAGAGCCGCCGTCTGCCTTTGCACAATGCTCTTTGTAAGGGTGCCTGGGGGACCGGGGAAGGGGTGGGATTTTTTTTTTTTTTTATTTTTGGGTGGGAGGAGGAATAAAGCTCTGCTTGCCAGAAGGGAGGGGATTCAGTCCCCTGGTGCAACGAGCTGAAGAGGGAAGGGAAGGCGCCGAGAGATTCTGGCATCACTGGGGAAGAAAAGCACTGATTCCTCCTGCGTCCCCACTCACTTGCTGAGCTGGAGCCGTCCTGTCCCGGAGCAGAAGTGCTGTGCCAAGGCGAGGGGCTGCTGCCTCCCCCTCTGCTCCCTCCCTGCTTGCACGTGCTGCCGGTTTCTCTCGGTGGCCAGCCGGGAGGGGAAGGCAAGGGGCAGGCGCCGGGGTGGTGTGGGAACCCCAGGGTGCACGTGGTGCCTCCACTGAGGTTTCGGGCCAGAGCTGGGAGAGGAACCGATGACTTCCCCCACCCCAGCCCGGGGCTGACTCAGCGCCCACCAGTTGATGCACGGGACCCCCACCCCTCCTGGGCTGGTTCTTGCTCTGCTCGTCATCCCGCTGATGCTCTCAGGGGGCTGCTCTTTGGACTTCTGGGGCTTGGGGAAGTGGTGGTGAAAGGCTTATCTTCGTCAGGCAGCCATGGCCTCTGCCCTCAGTCCCACGTGTCCACGGCCAGTGATGCAGCGTGACACGAGCTGTAGCCACCGGCTGCACCTGGGAAACGGCTCCATTTCCCACAGAGTGCACTGGGAGGGATTGCTGGGGGTGGTGACTCTGAGTGGCAACCCCTGCTCCCAGGGTAGCAAAGTGAGAGCATGTGCCTGGGGACCCAAAGAGAGAGGTTTCTACCTGGGGACCTGCTTGTCCCTCCCCTCTCTGCTCTATGGAACAGCAGCTGAAGCCCAGGAGTGTATCCCTCGGTGACACCAGGTCCTGGCTGCCTCTGATTCATCAGCTGGCCCACCAGGGTAGGAAAGGGAGGCAGATCCATGACATTTCTCCAGGGTGGGTTTACCTGGCTCTGTTCTGTGGTTGTTAGTCATCTGCCTGCCAAATATTCCCCACCAGCCTGGAGACTTAAAAGCCGGAGGAACGGCTGCTCTGCTCTAATTGACAGATCACAAGCCCTGGGACTTCCCTGAATTAATTTGTGACAAGTGCAATTGCTGAGGATCTCTACTAGGTAGAAAAACACAACAAACTGAAGCACAATCCTGTGTATCCAACTTGGGTTTAGAGATTGATAGTGTTGGTGGCTCTGCGACAGTCCCTGGTGCAGTGGTCCCGGCAGAGGAGCACTCTGTCCCTGAGGTCACTGAGTCTGGTTCCCCCTCAGACCCTCACAGGGTCTCTGTGAGCTTGTCTCCCTTATAGATGGGTCAATCCTACATCTCCCTGCCTCAGTTTCTCTCTGTAGACAGGAAGACAACAGCCCTGCCCTGCTCCACAGGAATCCTTCACTCCATATCAGTGCCGTGCCAGCACTCAGCTTCCACCCCATTCTTTGCTTCCTGGGGGCCAAGCTCACTGGGGAGGGAAGACACATGTGGAAGTTGCAGAGACGTGTCCCACCCGAGCCAGTTCTGGAAAGCTAGGCCCCATTGCATCTGGGATCTATTTATTTACCATGAAGCATTCCTTTGGAGAGATAATGCTGAAAGGATATGCACGAGTGTCCTGGCCTTCATCAGCCATACAAGCACTTGCTCCCAGCCAACTGCTCTCCCATGAGCCATCACTGCAGATCGTGTTCCCTGCGTGCCCAGCTCTTATGCCAGGGCAGCAGGTGAGCACTCGTGCCCAAATCATGAACCCAGAGGTTCAGCTTTGTGGTGGGTGTTTTAAGTGGTGCTGGTCCCCACTGGAAGCTTGTCCCCTGCTCGTCCACCTAGCCCCATGTCCCAGCTGGCACAGCCCCACATCCCATGTCCCTGGTCCCCACTGAGCCCTGTGCTTCTACCTCAACAGCTCAACTCGCCCATGAACTCCGTCACCAGCACAGAAGACATTAAGCCACCCCTGGGGCTCAATGGAGTCCTCAAAGTGCCAGCACATCCCTCAGGAACGATGGCCTCCTTCACCAAGCACATATGTGCCATCTGTGGGGACAGATCTTCAGGTAAGGCTGGTGCCTGCCCTGGGAGGGGCTCACAGCGGCAGGCTCAGGATACAGGTACCCTGGGAGAGGGTTGGCATGACTCCCCAGCTCCCTGTGGCACAGCTTCCTGTGCTCTCAGAGGAGAGATGAGAAGTCCCTTATTGACCAGCCTGGTCCAGGGCAGGCTCTGAGCTGAGCTGGCAGACGCCAGGTCCCTGTTTAGCAGTGGGGTTACATCCTCAGCCCATCTGAAAACAAGGCATCAGTGAGTGTCCCTCCTTCTCCCCATCTTTGATCTGCAGTGGTACTGTCACACAGTGCCAGATAAAAAGATGAGCTTGACACAGTCTCTCCACTCTGGGAGATAAAGATGTGCTAATTCCCTTTATTCTCACACTGTTCTAAAAGCTCTCTGCTCCAGAAGAGCTCTGGTCGCCTAGTTAGTGAGTCCTTAGGGACCTCTCCTGTGCCTGTACTGTGCACCCACGCTCCACTGCCAGCCTGAAGCCCAGGGCTTTGGAGGGTGGGTGTACAGAGCATGCTGGGTCGTGTGGCTGGCATGGGAGGTTCAGAGGGGGCACAGAGGGCACCCTCTGTTTCACTGCTGCGCTGCCTCTCCCCTGATGTATGCCTAAGAAATGCCGAGGGCTTTTCCTGCGTGGGAGGCAGGTTGCAGCCCACGGAGCGCATCCTGATTTTATGGAAGTCAAGTCAGGGCGAAGCCACTGCTCTTCAGCTCCGGCTCACGGCTCCAGGAAACCTTTGCCTCCCCCAGATCCCGCTGGGAGACAGGCCCCGGGAAGAGCTGACGGTCCGTGTGGGGAGGAGGAGACACTTTTAACCCGAGTCTCGTCCCCCACAGGAAAACATTACGGGGTTTACAGCTGCGAGGGCTGCAAAGGCTTCTTCAAGCGCACGGTGCGGAAGGACCTCACCTACACCTGCCGCGACAACAAGGACTGTTTGATCGACAAGCGCCAGCGCAACCGCTGCCAGTACTGCCGCTACCAGAAGTGTCTGGCCATGGGCATGAAGAGAGAAGGTAAGGCCTGGCCTGGCCTCAGCACCCCTGGGTGCTGCAGGAATGTTTCCTTCCTTAGGAGGCTCCGTCAGGCTCCTGTCTGGGGTGTCACGGTGGGCACCTGGGGCAGCGTCACCTTGCCGGGGTGACAAAAGTGTTTGTGTCTCGTTTATGTTTTGCTTTAGTGCCACAGCCAGGGCCTCCCGTGGGCTCCAGAGCGGTGCTGAGTCCTGGAGTGGTGCCTGGTGATGGGTGGGCCATGGGCAGGGACACTTTCCACTAGCCCAGGTTGCTCCAAGCCCCGTCCAACCTGGTCTTGAACACTTCCAGGGATGGGGCAGCCACAGCTTCTCTGGGCAGCCTGTGCCAGGGTTTCACCTCCCAGTCCAGTATCTGATTTTTTTCTCGTGGGGAAGAAGAAAGAAATTCAGTCTCATAAAATATAGCTCTCCCCTCACTGGAACTTAAATTTAGGATCTAAAACCTCCCTGGCAGTGCCTCTTTTAAGTGCTCTTTTTATATGCTGACTCCGTCTGTTCTAATCTGCTGGCAGAACAGGCTTTTACCAGACATGACGTGAAAATGACCCCAGTTCTCTGCTGCCTTCTCCCCTTACATCTTCAGAGCCACACTTGCCTCCCTGACAGGCTGATAAAACCGTCCCTGTGGCCAGCAGAGCTCCAGCCTGGGTCCCTTTGAAGAGCACTTAGTCCTGTCTGGAGCATTGATTAAACGGGGCAGTGCTGGAGCTGCACTGAGTGTTGGGCAGACCTTGCCACCCTCGATTTATGGGGTTACCCAAGGACCCACGACGTGCAGAGTCATCAAATGTCAAAGCTGTCTGTGCTGGAGGTGTGGGGGGATTGCTGGGGCACCCAGGGGACCTCCTTGGTCCTGCTGAGCTTAACCCTTTGGTGCTCAGAACGAATCTTCCTGCCCCACCAGACCTCTGATCTTAAATCGAGAGGCTGAGGCATTCGGAGAGTGCCTGTGAGGATGAGTGGGACAGTGCAGGTGTGTGTGGGGGCTGACATTGCCCTGGATGCTGTGCAGAGGGGCAGAGACATGGGGAGCACTGGATGCCTTGGGAGATGTGCAGCAGGACAAGGAAAATCTAATCCAAAACCTGAGCCGTGGGAGACTCAGGTGACTAAAAAGAAGCCAAGAAGCCTCCTGTGTGTTCAGCAGCAGCACTTGCTTCTCAGGGGAGAAACGTGGAGCATCCCATTCCCCTGACATTGCCTCCAGAGCCTTCCTTCAGCCCCCAGAACATCAGCCAAGGTCTGTAGGGTTGGGAAAACCAGCAGGAGTGCTGTAACTGCAGCCTGCAGTGACATCCTGTGAGCAGGTACCTGCGCTGTGCCTGCCGTTAGCGGTGATTGCATGGGCAGCACCGCTCAAATTACGGGTCCATTAATTAACTTCTAAATGGTGGTGGAATTCCCCAGGGAGCGCAATACAGTAGGAGGACTCTATTAATTCATCTTGATTAACGTTATCACAATGAATAGCAAATGAATTCATAACGATCAGACAGTTATTTAAAAGGGTGACAGATGGGATCTTGGTAACTCCAGAAGTGCGCTCAGGCAGTGCTGGCTGATCTGGTGAGGACAGCGTTGGAGAAGGGCAGGAAGCTGGTGATTTGGCAGACAGTAGATGTTTGGGGCATAATCCCCATGTAGGGAAAGCTGGAATAACTCCTCTGGTGTCCAAATAAAGCTCTGTCTTGTTTTAAACCTAAAAATTCAGTGCCTTGAGGAGATGTCCAAGTGTTGTCCTGGAACTGAAAGTCAGAAGTTGGATCTTGCTAAGCTTTGGTTTTAAGTAAAACTCTTCGAGTGTTGAGGTTTTGAATGAAACTCTTGAGTTTCACGTGTGATGTCCGCATGATTTGTCAAAAAAAAAATAAATCTCTTCCCATTGCAGCCATCCCAGCTCACTGCTGCTGCCCAGCCACTTTGCCAGCCAGTAATATTGTCCTTGTCTTTACAACAGTCCTCTTGCATCCCACCTCTATTTTGGGGAAGAGTTTTGGGCTAAATCCTGCTTTGCTAATTTGTTTTGCCTGAATAAAACATATCTGGCTTTCTATCCTCTAGCATAAACTGTTGTATCTTTTAAGTAACAGAGCCAGGGTAATGGGCCTCATTTCCCTGTAAAATATCTTGCTCTGGAGACCTAATTTATAGCTGCATAAAGGCATAGCAGATTCCTGCTGGGAAGTATCTCTCTTGTAGCCCAAAGGTACTTGGATGTTGTGGAAGTACAGTAAAACTCTCTAAAGTGAGTAGTGTGGCTGTGGTGAGAGGCAGAGCTGTGGTGGTGATGCTGGGAAGAAGAGGGATGAGGGTCACAGGCGTACCCAAAAAACCTGTGCCAGGGAGTAAAAGGAAAGGAGCTCTTACTCAGGTGAGAAATTGGATTAGAGAAGTAAAATCAACAGGACCTCTTGGGCAGCTGAGAAGGTCTGGAAGGGTTTGATCCTGACAGCTGGGGGGTCTCTAGGTGAACATACCAAGAGCAGACCCAGAGGGATGAACCTTGTGCTTGGCCAGGGTAGAAGCAGCAGCACGAGGGAGGTGAGGGGCAGGGGTTGGCTGTGGGGTACTGCTGGGAGGACAGGGATGGCTTCAGGGCTACAAACCTTGGCTTAAAGGGGTGAAAGTCTCCAGAAGCAGAAGATTCTTCCCATTGTGTGCATCTCTTCTTGCTGTTCCCTGTTAAAAACATACAGAATAGTTCATGGTGAATGAGCCTCACGGCTCTGAGATATTGCAGCTATAATAAATAAGCAACTGGGAACATTTTTCCCTTATGAATTACTGCCAGCTGTGTGAGGTTTTGGTTTTTATACTCTGTCTCCCACTAAATACCGGATAGTCAACAAAATTAAGATTACCATCAGGGATCTTGACTAATGCAGGGATTATTATTATTATTGTTGTTAGGGTGGCTGTTTGTATCCAGAAGCAGAACTCTCCCTGCTTGATCTGTTACTCATTAGGGTCTAAGGTGTCTGTGGATCAGCAGCCTTGGATTTCAGAGGGGGAAAAAGTGGAAACTGCCTTGGAGTTAGGGAGGCAGAGGAGGGAGTAAACACCGAGGGTCTTGGGATGAAGGGGTCTCGTGTGCAGTGCCGTTCGCTGGGTTAACATCAGAGGTGAAGGAGGTCATCAGAGGCTGCAAACGCGTTGCAGCTCGTCGCTGTCTCGTGTGAGGAGGTCCCGGCCCCTCCGTTGCTGGCAGCACCGCCGGCTCGCCCGGCTCGCAGGAAATACCAGCGAGGAGCCCTTTCTCATGCTCCCGCCGGCCGCCCTTGGCCGGCTCACAGGCAGCAGAGCGTTGGGAACCGGCACAGCCCGGCCCCGCCGCTCTGGCTGCCGCCTCTGCTTCCCCCGGCGCTGCCCCCGGACGTGAGCGGCTCCCCGTGCGAGCCAGCCCGGCTCCACAGGACCTGCTGGGCTGCCCACTCTGCCAGCGGGGCTCCCCCGTGCCGGGCAGAGGGCTGGGCGCGCTGGGAGCGCTGGCGGCGGGTTTGATGCCAACTGGGTAAAGTGGGTGTTGATGCATCTCCACCATCTCCACCATCTCCACATCTCGTAGCCCGTGTGGAGACCACAGAGCTGTTCTCCTCCAGCACCTGCGGCTCAGGCTGCACAGCTGACCCCCAGGATCGTTCCTAAATCCAGGTGCAGGTACCCTGACAGCGTGGCCTGGGTACAGCGTGGCCACAGCTTGTCTCCACCAGCTGCTGGGACGTGATCCAGAGCCATGCTCTGAGCATCCAGGATGTCTGTCCAGCTGCACACCTGATCTCTGATTTCAAGGCTTCATTAAACTTCACAGCCTGAGTTAATTCTTCCCCTTCTCCTGTGTTTGTGGGTTGGTTTTCCGCCTCTCTCTTGCACTGCCATCGAGCTGAGGGGTTTAACCTGGGAGAGGTTGGACTTGCAGCATCTCTAGTCTGCAGCCTGGAGACCTTCCCATGTCTCCAGGGAGCTGTTTAGATATATCACTTAGTCCAGAAGGACTGAAGATTCCCCCTGTTCAAATTTGGAGCTCAGCTGCTGCACTGACTAAAGTCTCTCACTGAGCTGTGCCCAATCCCCTGCCATAGCTGTGCATTCCCTCTGCACCCCCTGGAGCTGGAGCCATCCTGGCTCTTGGAGCATCTCTTGGGACCAACAGGAGCAAAAAGGGTCCGGGGAGAAAGAGCAGGAATTCAGGTTTCCAACCCCCTTCCCAACTGAAGCAGGCAAGTGGCCATAGCCTAGTGGAGGGGCAGAGTTCAAGAGCACAGTTATTTTTAGTAGTAATTTTGGAATGGAAAATGTCTTCCAGCTTAATGAGTTTGTTTCTTATATCCTTTTAAAGTGCTGCTGTTTAAACCAGCTGGTTAAATGATGCTGGGTCTGGTTTTTTGTTTTTAAGGATGCTCTTGGGTTGAGGAAAAGGGTTTGGTTTATGGTTTTCTCTCCTTTGCCAATGTTGCTGTTTGCTTATACTTCAGTACCTGGCTTTGGAGAGTGAAGTGAGCTGGGGATTTTTGCTGTTGCTTTCCAGAGTTGTTCCTCATGTGAACTAACTGCATGCAAAGGTTTCAATCCACTTTTTAACACTCTTAAGTTATGTTTTTTAATTACCATGGTGGTATTTTGCGTTCCTTAAAAAAAATCCAGTAGTCAATTGAAAATGCTGGAGAAAAAAACCCCACCATTTATTTCACGTGTCTCAGCTTTTGAGGTTGTTTACAGTAGCAGAAAGCTGCACCTCTGAAGAAAAAAAAGGTGACACACGAAAGCAAAGCAGAAGAAACGCTGTCTGAATGAGTTTCCTCAGCTGTCGTGGCATTTTCGATACAAACAGGTACCTCAGGCATAAGCACTTCAAGGTGCTGATGATCCACAGTGAAGATGTGGCTTCATAAAAGGCAGCAGAGGCCAATAAATCCCACTGTGAGTGAAATGGAAATCCCCAATAACCCCCCACCCAGCTCCTCATAAATAACGAGCCACCCA